TAAATATATATATATATATATATATATACATATGCACACACACAAGATAGCTAAGATAATTGTACTACTAATTTCTATTGCTTTGTTGAAAGGAGTAGTCAATGTTTAATTGTTTGATCAATCTTACATGCCTATATTTGTTCATCTGAGTAACCAATTTGAAGATAACAATATGTAATACTACAACCATTGTTAATTTCCTATCACCTTGTTTGAAATTCAGTATCATTTTTATTGTTTTTGTGTTGTTTTGTTTATGTTTCTGTGTTTGTCAATTTGTTTTTGTTCTTTTCTCTTTAAAAACAGACTTAGAATAATACTATAAATATCTTAAACCTAATAGATACACAGAACACTTCCACAAAGGTAGTGTATACATTTTGCTGAAATGCACATGGAATATTTTGTGGGATAAACCATATGTTAGGCCACAAAATGAGCATTAAGAAATTTAAAAAGATTGAAATCTTCCAAAGTATGTTCTCTCACCATAATGGAATGAAATTTGAAAACAGTAACAGAAAGAAAACTGAAAAATTCACAAATAGGTAGAAATTAAACAGCATATTCTTAAGAAACCAATCAGTTCAACCCCAACAGATGGTCCATGAGCACACTCCCTGAGCACCACTAGCCCTTGGCCAACTCTGAGCTTGCAGATTTTGTCCCCTGGCCATGGTCACCCACAAACCCCTAAGACCATTTTTGTTCCCCTTTGACAATGAACAATAGAGGCACCAACCAACTGATCAACCTGATTATAGAAGAGACCAAACCACCGAAAGAGAAGGTAAAGCCAGGAGAGTCTACATGCCAAGGAGAAACAAAAGATCTGACAAGCAGCACCAGCTCCAAGAAAAGCCCACACAGAAAATTGTGACTTGCTGGATTCCAAGACTGCAGATTCTGCAAAGAAACCAATTATTCAGAAACATGGAGGAATTCTTTTTCATTGATTCAATTTTTTCTTTTTCTCTTTATTTGCCTTGTTGGTTTGGGGGAGTTTGGGGTTTATTCTGCTTTTTCTTTTCTCCTTTTAATGTTTTTTTTTCCTTTTAATCTTTCTTTTGGTTTTTATTTTGCTATTTTTCTCTTCTTTTTCTTGTTTTTTTTTTCTGTTACTACCTAGTATATGTCCTTTTACTCCTCAATAGAATCCCCTATCACACTTTTCTATCCTTGTTCTCATTTTCCATTGACTAATGCTTTAAATTTTACTTTTTTCATTCTCCAGTTCCCCCACCTCCTCTAGCTTTACTAGTATAACCATTTAACTTTATTAATCTTTACATAGCAAATTCTGTGTTATGAGGGTTGAATATTGTTCTGTTGTTAGTGGAGACACAGTTATTTCATTTAGTAGATATTTTCTGTAGCTCAGTATCTGGTTTGTCTGGTACCTCAGTTCACAAACTTAATTCATTCCACAGTTCTGGAAAGGATGGCCATGTTTGTGTTTATGTGGGAAAGATGGCCATGGCTGTGTTTGTCACCTGATGCACACTTCACAAACAAAAACAAAATTTTGCCACTTTATTTGTGAAAGAAATTGTTCAGAAAGTGGGGGGGGGGAGAATATTGTTCGTGAACTGAAGTACCACTGTCTTTTAATCATAAGATCTCTTTGCTATGGTTAAGGAAGAAGAAG